CGAGGGGTTCCCCCAGGGGACGGTGTGGTCGTGCACAGGTCCGAGGACGCGGTGGGTAGGCGGAGTTGAGATGATGCTGTAACTGGATCGCTTTTGCGCCTTCTGTGTTTTCAGCGGGTATGGATTGTGCCCTCCTAGGTCCCTATAGATTATTACATTTCTGGCCCCAGGTCCTCTATGGAAACTAACAGCAATAACCTAATCCCGTGACTATCCTGTGCTCTTCCTAGGGAGCGCTTATGCTTACCACCCCTCCCCTCCCAAGGAACACCGGATTCCCGTGGAACCTTGTGGGACAAGCCTGGATTTGGACAGGTCACCTGGCCCAAACGCACTACAGCCCTAAACTAGAACGAGAAAGGCTGATGGTCCGTTATGAACGTACAGGGGTTGTTCCAAGCCATAGGGAACGCTTCTCTGGCCACTTGGCCCCTGGGTACCCGCTGTCTGGGGCAGGAGAAGCGCATGAATAGGCCTTTGTCCTCTGACTTTGGGTGCTTGGCCTTCTCTCAGCAGCCTGCTGGGCATTCTTTGTCATTGTTCAGGACTACGATATTCCTACAGAGATGGGGATTCCCACTCGCTTATCCCCAGAAACGAAATCCAGGGACACTCTGTTTTTAACTCCTCAAACCTGTATCTTCTCCCTGACTTCCTTACACTCCCCCCGCCCCCCCCCAAAAAAAAGCATTTCAACAATCATTACCCTTGGGAAGGGTGTTGAGGTTCGTCCAGCTATGAGAGAAGAAAGAAGGTTCCAGTCTCCAGAGAAATGCTGGGAGGAGGTTGATTTAACCCAGGCTGTCAAAGGGACCAGATTCTCCTGCCACCCACCTGCTCTGCTCCTAGATGCTAAGGTGCCAGGGAACCAAACAGGGCAGAGGCGCTAATCACACTAGCAACAGAATACAGAGGGTAATGGTGTAGCCAGGCCACTTCCATGCTGCCGCCACGTGTACAGTTTATAGGAAACACAATACTGTGTGAGGGGAGAGGATAATTAAAAAGCTGAACGAGAGGAAGGCCCTCTGTTTTCTGTCCTCTCCTACTTGATGCTTCTAGTGTCTTTGCATGTCTGGCTCTACCCCATGCCTGCTAACCTTGAGCTTTGACTCTCCACCATCTCACTAAGCAAGTCCCAGGTCCCTGTTACCCAACATCCCCACATCAGGGCAAGTTTTATCCCAGGCCCTCATGACAGCAACATTTCTGCTTTGGCCCCTCCCACCAGCAGCATGCCCCATCCCGGTTCTTATCTCTGGGCGCTTGCCCAGGCTCCTTGGAGCAGGTGTACCTTGGCAGCAAGCAGGTGAGAGCGTGCAGAAGGGCACACAGTCTTGAGGGATGCAGAGGCGAAAGAGTTAGATAAGAGCATGTCTTGATACTTACTTCCCGAGATACCAGCTTCCTGTGCTCAAACCAAACCTGCCTTAACTGAGGGATGGGGAGGCAGCAAACACCAAGACAAAATACTCAAACGTCATCATTCAATTCCAATTCATAGCCAAGTTTTTTGTTTTGTTTTGTTTGCTCTGTGTTGATCTTCATCTTTGTACAATTGGCATCTAGTAGAATGCCTAGCACATTCCGGATGCTCAATAAACTTTTGATGAAATGAAATGACCACTTTATTCCACATAAGCAAGGAGGACAAAACTGCTTTTAAGATGCCACTCCCCCTTTCTCTTTCTTCTCATCTTATTTCTGTGACCAGGGGGGAGGAGACCCTGGTTAGTTCTTTCTCTTGTCAAGTAGGACCAAAAAAAAAAAAAAAGGCAGAAAAACAAAGCTTTATTTAGAAAATAGGAAGAGAAAAAACATGCAAAGGGAAGCTCAAAACAATGCTCTCATGTCTCCAACTACAGTTTTTTGAAACTGGATTTTTTTGTAAAGTACAATTTTGTGTGATAATTGGGAACTTGTAAGCAAAGCCTCCAGGCAGCTTCCTGAGGATGGGGAGGGGGTTTCCTGGAATGGGTTGGTTTATTAAGACGAAGTGCACACAGTT